TTTTAAACAAAATTTTAGTTGTATTCCTGTCTCAAACCTTCTCCTTCATTCATCAAAACATCCACTCTATAACTCTGTATTGAATTTTATCAAGGAAATAAAAGTATAAAGCACAAAGATATAGGGAGATAAAACTAAACATAAATGAACATTAGCTAAATACATTTTAAAAAAATATGTGGTTATATAAACAATTCTATTCTTTTTCTATTTAAGATTATTATACAAACTTTTTATTTTTAATAACTCCATTTTATAATTTTTCTCTATACAAACTAGTAAAAATAACCCTCCACTTCTGACAACCAAAGATAACTGATGTTAACGTTTTGATGTAAACCTTTCAGTCCCTTACTATGCAAATGAATGCATGAGCTTTTAAAGCTAAAGTTGAGCCCATAGGTTTTTACTTAACCAAATATCATGAACACTGTTTATATCATTGAATATTTTCTGGCTTCATTTTTAATGAGTTTCTGTATTTCATTGAGTTAATGTATTGTCATTAACTTGTTAGAATAAGCATTTTGTGCATAAATTATTTTCCATAAGAAGGATTACTTTAGTATTTCCAGAAGTAGAAGTTGAAGCAATTGCTATGAATATTTTTAAAGCATTCATATTTTTGAAAAGTTTTTAATTTTAGATTAGTGTCCATCTATGTGTTTTACCCTAGTTATAGAGAAGAAGTGAAAACTGGTTTCATTGTTAGATTTGCACAAACACAATTGAAGAATATAAAACCATTGTTACCATGTTTCCCAAAGCCAAATATGTATGTGATATCTGAACTGTTAATAATACTATCTGTTTGTATCAGTATGCATGGATAATTGAAAAATTATAAGATTTCTTTCCCTAAAACAAGAAAATCTGAAAGGGTAGATTTTAAGTTTTATGATTAAAAGCTATAGGAAGTAAAGTTGTTAAGTTTTTATTTTAGGCAGTGTTTTCATGGAAAAACTTTTTTTTTTTAGAGGGTTAAAACTTTAAAAAATTAAAATAATGTTTTAAAAATTTTTTTCAATTACTGTTGACATATGTTATTATATTAGTTTCAGGTGTATACCCCAATGACTAGACATTATATAACTTACTAAGTGATCACCCCAGTACAACTCACACCCATCTGACACCACACATAGTTATTAGAATTTTATTGACTATATTCCCTATGCTGTACTCTACATCCCTATGACTATTCTGTAGCAACCAATTTGTACTTCCTAATCCCTCCACCCTTTTCACCCATTCCTCAAAGCCCCCTCTCATCTGGCAATTGTCAAAATGTTCTTTTTATCTGTGAGTCTGTTTCTGTTCTTGTTCATTTTGTTTTTTAGATTCATTTATTGATAGAGATGTATTTATTGCCATTTTGTTCATATTTTTTATCTTTTTGTTTTCTTCTCCTTAGAGAAGACCCTTTAACATTTCATGTCATATTGTTTTGGTAGCGAACTCCTTTAGCTTTTTCTTGTCTGAGAAGCTCTTTATCTGTCCTTCAATTCTAAATTATAGCTTTACTGGGTAGAGTAATGTTGGTTGTAGGTCCTTGCTTTTCATCACTTAGAATATTTCTTGCCAGTCCCTTCTGGCCTGCATAGTTACTGTTGAGAAATCAACTGACAGTCTTATGGGAGCGCCCTCGTACGTAAATAACTGCTTTTCTCTTGCTGCTTTTAAGATTCTCTGTTTTTTAACCTTTTGCCCTTTAATTATGATGTGCTTTGGTGTGGGCCTCTTTGGGTTCTTCTTGTTTGGGACTCTGTGCTTCCTGAACTTGTATGTCTATTTTCCTTCATGTTAGGGAATTTTTCTGTCATTATTTTTTCAAATAGGTTTTCAATTTCTTGCTCTCTTTTTCTGGCATCCACATGATACGAATGTTGGTACACTTGAAGTTGTCCTAGAGGCTCCTGCTATCCTCACTTTGGGTTCTTTTTGCTATTCTGATTGGGTGTTGTTTGTTTCCTTATCTTCCCAATCTTTGATTTAATCCTCTGCTTCATCTGCTCTATTGTTAACTAGAGGCCCGGTGCACAAAAATTTGTGCACTGGGGGAGGGGGTCCCTCAGTCTAGCCAGTGCCCTCTCGCAGTCTGGGACTCCTCAGGGGATGACCACCTGCTGGCTTAGGCCTGCTCCCCGGTGGATTGGGCCTAAGCTGGCAATCATACATCCTTCTGGCAGCCCGGGAGCCCTCGGGGGATGTCCACTTGCCAGCGGGGAGCAGGCCTCAAATGATGCTGTAATTTCAAATCAGTTGAGAGTGTATAACTTAGTGGGATAACTTGTCTAGAAATGTTTTTGGTCACATTTTTGTCTGAAAAAGATTGGATTGCAAAACTTTAAATTTCTTCTGTTAAAGGATAATTGGAGTCTTACCAATGTATTACGAATCTTTTCAACAGTAATCTCATTTTATATTTTTAAAACTAAATCATATTCAAATGATATACCGAGTACATATTCATTCTTATTTCTTTAGTGCTTCACTTTATGGTCTTGGGCCTTTGGGCCCATGCTATTTTTACATCGTTGGACTTATGGATATACATTTATTTACTAGTGAGGTCATTTAATTTGTACTGAGCTAAAGTTTTTCTATTTCTTTTTTTAATAGTTGTGTGGAATTCGACTTGAATGTAAACAATATTGTTGGAATAAGAAACACATTCCTTCTCCGAACTTATGCATATCGTAAGTTTTTGTTTAGTTCCAAATAATTATCAGCTTTTCATTTATTTGTCATTCTTTTTTCCTTTTTAAAGATGCTTGCAGTAAATACTGACATCTCTTTAATTGTTTTTATGTATAATGTCTTATTATACTATTTGTAAAATATATTGCTTCACTAAAATTATATACTACCAAAGTTAAAGGTCAATAAGATGAATTTTAATAATTAGCAGTTTTTAAAAAGGTAACTGCTTTAGAAGTAAGATACATTTATGGTGAATACTGTTTAATGCACAGGGAGGCGGTACTCTTTTTATTAGCATGGAGCTGGGAAATTATGGAAACTTTCAAAAGAAACTATAATGTCTTCTTACAATTTTTAAGTTTTAATTTTACTTTCAGTTGAAAATCGAGTTCGTCCATTAGTACTGGTGATTAAGAAGTGGGCAAGTCACCATGATATAAATGATGCCAGTCGTGGTACTTTAAGCAGCTATAGTCTTGTATTGATGGTTTTGCACTACTTACAAAGTAAGTATTATGGGTTTTCCCCAAATTTGACCCTACTTCAAATAGTATTGTTTTAAACATTTACATCTAAGGTCCATTAGACCATATTTTCTGTTTTATTGCTTTGAATACTTGCTCTAGAAATGTTACTCCCTGGAAAGCATTAGAAAGCAGTTTCACGGTGCTTTTATTTTTTTTTACAGTTTTCTGTATTCACTTTTGTATTCAAAGAACTTTTCACCACTGTATTGTGGAACCATTTTCTTGAGGCAGATGAATGAATGTTCAGAAGGCCTATAAAAATAAGCTCACATACCAGTCATCCTGTTTTTTATTTTTCACTTGAGATAGGAATGAAATTATTTTCCTGTTGGTCAAAGAAGCTTTTATTCCCTGTGAGCTGGTATGGAGATAGGGTGAAAACTTACGTTATTGTAATAGAAGACCATTTACCAGGATGTCTTGAATCTGATCTGTTCTGAGTTAATGTTATTGCCACAGTTTAGAAAGTGATGTTGTAGTATTTATGTTCCTATCCTTTGACTCAGTAGTTCTGTTTCTAGGAATTTATGGTAAAGTAATAATCAGGGATGCTTACATGGATTTATTTATAAGGCTTTCATAGTGTTTGTTGAAATAGTAAAAGATTAGAAATATACTAAGTTTTTAGGAATGTGGATGATTAAATTAATTATAGTATATCCCAATGTGAAATGTACACAGCCACTAAAAATCATGTTTTTTAGATGTTTAATGATATAAGAAAAGATTCAGGATACACTAAGTCATATACAACATGACACCAAATTTATTTTAAAAATAGTAACTAGCCCTGGCTGGTGTAGCTCTGCGTTTAGAGCATTGGTTTGTGCACCAAAGGGTCGTGGGTTTGATTCCTGGTCAAGGCCACATACCTGGATTGGAGGTTCCATCCCAGGCTCCGGTCAGAGCTGGTGCTGGAGGCAACCAATTGATGTGTCTCTCTCTCTCTCTCTCTCTCTCTCTCTCTCTCCCTCTCTCTCCCT